ACCACTGCGGTTTAAAGTCGAAAAAAGTCGATGATCCCTCGCGCGGCATCTTTCCGATGCAATCCGGACTTCGTGCTAGGCTTGACGCCAAGAGTGACTTTGTGCTTCACGCCGTTGGCCTCTCCTAGGGGGGGGGCCGCGCCAACTCTTTCAGCACTTCGTCCGCCCAAGTGAAAACGAAGGTGAGCGAGTGATTGCGAATTTCCATTTGTATATATTCGCGGGCTGCTTATCGTGCCCATCTTTTATAATATGTTTATATCCCTGATTGTGTTTGCAAATAAACCCGAAGGAATAAGACGGAACTCCAACCAAAGGTCGGATGAGTTTTTATTCCCGGGTTTATGAAATTTTGGTTTTCCCAAAATTTGCAAACATCAAGCTCTTTTCCTTTTCATGTCATGTTCCTTTTCAGAACCTGACGATTTCCGATGGTGGCCATTTTGGCACAAGACTTTTAATTATTTTTCGCCCGCCCTCCACAACCCTTTGCCTTTGCGGCTCGGGCATTTCCTGCCCTTCCTCTTTTCGTGGTTGGGTAGGTGGGGCGCCTAACCCTAGCCGTTGGGCCTCGCCAACTCTTTCAGCACTTCGTCCGCCCAAGTGAAAACGAAGGTGAGCGAGTGATTGCGAATTTCCATTTATATATATTCGCGGGCTACTTATCGTGCCCATCTTTTATAATATGTTTATATCCCTGATTGTGTTTGCAAATAAACCCGAAGGAATAAAGATGCATTAACGCCAGCCCTAACCCGGTCCGGGGGTTGGGGTTCGGGTTAACCCCAAGCCTGACCTGCGGGTCCCGGATTGGGGTTAGGGTTTGGGTTAACCCCAACACGAATCCACGGACTTCGGGTTTGGGTTCGGGTTAACTCCAACGCTAACCCTGCTCGGGGGTTGGGGTTCGGGTAGGCTGGGGTTAGGGTTTCCCGAACCCACGGACTCAGGTTAGGGTTCGGGCTATCCTGAACCCCATCAAGGTTAGGGTTCGGGTGCAACCCAACCTCATTTTGAGGTTCACGTTAAGTTGAAGAGAACCGGAACCTGAGGTTGGTGTTGTTCCCCCGGCCGGGGATCGAGGTTGCATCAATGTTCAACCCCAACCCCCAAGCCACCCCCCGTGGGGTATGCTCCAGTAATTCATGCCGTGCCGAGGGCGGGGGTTAAGACAGCGCAATCAATGCAGGATTCAGGCAGTGCTGGTGTGCGCGTACTGACATGAGACTGTGCGTGCGTAGTGATTTGTAAGTGTTGAAGCCGGTTTAGGGGTTAGTGCAGACAGGCTCTTGGTGATGTTGTGCTCCTGGTTGTTCCCCGTGTGTTTTGTTGGTCTTGTACTGTTTCTAAGTTCCCTACTTCTGTCGCTTGCCTCAATAGCTTCATGCGGCATTGATAGGTGGAACGAGTCTTTTTATTTTTCGGCCTCCGTTTGGGCCAGTCAAGCATCACTGCACGGGTGTCGCATTGTGCCCTGCATACTTTCTAAGGATGCAAGCTCACAGGGGCAGGACCCTATCGTTACATTTGGTGCGTGGACTCCATCACTGGGCACACGCGACGACGCCGAGAATTAGGACGAGGACGACGACAATCCCTTTTCGGCCTCCGCTTGGGCCAATCAAGCATCCACTGCTGCCTTGCTGCAGCCTTGGTCTAGTCCGGGGCGTGTGTCTGTGTGTGTGTGTGTGAAACCTGGACATGGCGACGGCTTTGCTTTGCTCTTTCCTGAAGCCGTTCTGTGTGCAGGGGACAGAGGCTTCCGCACTCCAGCAAAACGTACCTGCAGGCATCCGCCCTGGTCCCAACAGGGCAGCTTGGGGCTGCAATTTCCCCCTTTCATTTCATTTTGGTATGCCATTCCTTGAGTCTGGCTCACCGGGGCAGAGCCCTACCCCAACGGATCATTCGTTTTAGCATGCCATCTGGTGTCTGGCATGCTTACGCACCAAAATTTCATCGTCATCTCATGTCCTGCTCCTCTGTCTTTTCATCGTCTTGCCGTGTCGGTAGCTCGTCGCAGTCATCAATGCCGTGCCGAAGTGTGTGTGCTGCTGGTGTGGTAGTGTTTTATGGTGTTGGCATAGGTGATACAAGTGTGGATGGGTTGCTTCAGGTATGATGTTGTTGTCGACGTGTTGCGGTCTCTGATGAATCTGGCCGGGCTCAGCTGATGTCACATGCCCCGAAACGGTCACACAAGGGTAGCTGCCATCGTTGAGCCAATGAGTCCGATGCATCCTGCATGCAATCAGTTTAGATGTGAGAGGTGTGTGTTTTTGTTGTTGTCGTTGCTGTGCTAAGACGTGCTTCCAGGTCTGACGGATTGGGGCAGTCTACAGACGAGGCAGACTATAGCTCAATGCCCTCATCAAGCCGTTCCGTGTAATTTCGGAGGCCGTCGGCTCCTCACCAGCACAGCCTTCCGCAGTGAGCAACAATGTTTGGGACTTAATCACTTAGTCCTTGGTTTCACCGCATCAGCATACCCACGGTACAGGTTGCGGCCAGGTTGCAGATGGCACCAGTCGTGTGGCAAGACATTGACGGTGTTGTGGAGCAGACCCAACACCGACCCAGGTTGCTCCGCCAAGCACTACAGTTCAAGCTGCTGTCGTGGACATGCCAGCAGAGATGCAGGATTCCTTTGCACGAGTATCCGTCGTCCAAGCCGTTGCAGTTGTGCAATGTTGTGGTGCTGCAACAAGAATCCACAAGGCATTTAGGGCGTCTAGGTTGCGATGTTTGGACGCAAGTTCACCAGGACGTCGCCGTCCCGTGGGCGCAACCGCGCCTATCAGCACAGGCCAAGCTTGTCAAGCTTGTGGTTTCCAGAGTGCTCGCCAAATGTTTTACCAATGAGAAGCAGCAGCTCATTGTCAAATCATGTGTGTACCGCAGGGAGGCGGGGTCATGAGAAGTCGTCGGCCGAGCCTTTTACTTCGAGCTCACGCCATGGCCTTGTCTCGTAGGGATCGTGGCATGGTAGCTGCAACATAGCTCGACGACTTGTGTGCATCATCGAGGTGGCCTTCCGCTTGGTGCTGGGGCTTTCCGTTGCTGGTCTCTCACACGCCATTGGCCTGCAGATCAAAATTGGGCATGTTACAGTTCGACCAGAAAACTCTAGCTACAGTTGCTAATGAAGCGATCCCGAGCGCCCTGTTGCTGTATCTGCAAGTCCCAGCCCGCTGAGGATGCAACCGATCTCCGCAGGCTACAAGCTGAGGACGCCGACAGCAGGTTTCACCAAGTGCAGGTACCTGAAGAGAAAGTGGCGTGAGCATGTACCAAATATCATCATGTACCGGTGAAGATGCAGGGTAGCTCCTGCATGCCACCTGCATGTCATTGCTCCGCCAAGGCCAGCAACGGACCACCTGCATCCCTTGCCTGCTTAGAAAGTCGCAATGCAGTTGTCAGTCTATCTGAAGACTTCAAGTAAACTGTCACTTGATTTTGGCACGTCGCTTCCGGTGACCGGCCAGTGGGGTTTCAGAAGCAACCGTTTTTTTCACTTGATTGCAACGGCTTCGTGTGTTGGCGTGACATCTGTGCGGCGAAGGAGTTTGGAATCACCTTCGGCGTGCCAACTGGCGATGCAAATGTCATCAAGGTCTTGCCTTCACTTGGTTGTGACAAACTGAAGGGATGTGCCACGCTTGCGGCTCTTCGTTCTGCATGTGATGACAACATGCCTTGTATGCAAACGCGTTGCCAAAGCCTGTTCAAGCCATCCGAATCTCGAGCCTTCTTTCTTTACATCTGCTTGCCTGGCGCTGAGAGACATTTGGATTTGGCCTCTGCCCCTTGCACCTGGGACGATTATTGATCACTGCAGCAGGGACGCGATGTTCGCCGACTTCAGCTGCGCTTCCGCATGCAATCCTCCCAACCCCTCTGCCAACACGGTGAAGGCGGAGCAGAGATCACTAGTACCTAGTACATCTGTCATTTGTTCTGGATTAGCGGGATGTCGCCGATTCCAACGTGACAGGTCAGCATGGAAGATCTGGCCAAGCGTGTTGCAGAAGAGCAGGCTACCCTGCGCTCGACGATACACTAGCTTGTGTGAATGGGTTTCGAAGTATATCAGGTCATGAGTGTTTCAGGCAGGATCCGAAGCTCTCTGTATGTGCAGGCTGTAAAGGAGGAGGAGGACAGGCGCCGCAAGGCGGAGGAGGAGGCTGCCAAGGCTTCGTCGTTCAGCAGAGTGACATGCTTGCGACCAGAAATTAGACGATGTGTTGACAAATCACAGGCCAAACCAGCACTGTTTAGTTCGGGTGCCTTGATCTTGCCAGGAGGCGGTTCGTCAGCAACGTGAGAAGGAAGCTGAAGAGCGTCGTCGCAAAGAACAGGAGGAGCTGGGATGCAGTCTGTAGCTGTGCCTTTGATTGGGTCGCCAGAAATCCTCTTCTGGGTCCTGTTTTCACATGCTGAATTGCGCGCTCCAGCTATGCCTGCACTCATGCCACAGGCCTAGCTCTAGTTCAGCAAGTTGCCATTATAGAGCTCAAGACCTGCTTGCGCAGGAAGCACAGCGTGCACGCCTGGAGGCTGAGCAGAGGGAGAAGGCCAGGAGCATCTGTGTTGTGCTTGCTTGCACAAGATTTGCGAGATCAGTTGGGGGCTTTCGTTTTTCAGCTCTTCGATTAAGAGCTTCCCGAGGAAGCCAAGGAGGCTGCTGAAGCAGAGAAGGCCGCTGCTGAGCAGGCTGAGAAGACGCGCCAAGAGGAGTGCTGGGATACGTCGCGCATTTTACAAGTGGTGTTCAGTTCACCACGAGACCAGAGCTTGTGCTAGGAGTTGGCACAGCACAAGAATGAAGTGATGGCATGGATCAAGAAGCAAGGCTCGATCTTCCTGCATGCGTGCCCACAGGGTTTAGGATTTAGGGTTATGAGCAATTCTTTTCTCCAGAACTGCTGCCTCAACTTTTTCATACGCCAGCAGAGGATTCGTAGTTTCATCGGAATCTTCCCCTGTTGATAGCATGTTTGATGTCTACGGCAATGCATGCAGACGATTGGTGGATGTGAGCTTAGCGATCAGCTTCTCCCTTCGCAGGCTTTACTGGCATCAACAATGCCAAGAAGTCCTTCTTCAGCAGCACGTACCCGCTGCACAAGGCTGCAGAGGTGGGAAATGCAAAGATGGTCTGCTTCCGAGTGGGTTGCTACAGTACTCGTATTGTAGCAAGCAGCAGCGGTTGAGCTTCGATGCTTTTGTCAAGTCAGGTCAAACTGCTGCTGGAGCAGGGGGCAAACCCGGCTCTGAAAAACTCGGCTGGCAAGACCGCCCAGGAGGCGTTTCGAGAACCCGGAAAGCATGGCTGGATGCGTCCGCCTGCTACTTCGTAAGTGGGAGTCCGTCAGTCGGTTGGGACTGTGCAGGTTGTTCTTCAGAAGAAAAAGGGCGAGTCACACAAGGAGGTGCCCAAGCTGCTTTCGCGCCGGGTGTGCGAGAGTTGCGACAGTCTTGTTGGCTGCCACTCCCAAAGGTCCTGTCGCTTCTGTCAGATGCTGCTGGAAGAGCCTGAGCGCAAAGCAGCTCTTCGGCAGGCCGTAGTGCAGGATGGGTGAATGGTCTCCGCAGTCAGAAGCACTCCAGCCTCATTTGTTGTCAAGTCATTTTTTTGTTAGCCTTGCTATGCGCTTGCCGACGAAGTCTTCTCTTTTGCACAGGTCGAATTTTGCAACTCAACAGTACCTGAACGCGTCTGCTTGCTTGCTGTCTAGTGCTGCGCAGCAGCACTGGCTGCAGATGGGAGACCTGTTCGCGGGAATTTCAGCGCCATCCATGAGCGGTGCGCAGTGACTTGCACTTATTGATGCCTGCTTCCGGCCGGGAGTGCCAGTGGAGGTGGCATCGTAATTCGCTTGACTCGCACTCCACGTGTGAGTTCCTATAGAGCCATATGACATAATAGCCTGCGAGCGGAGGATGTTGCGTGCAGTCCTTAGCTGCGCAAACGTCTCTGTGCACAGAATGCAGCACAAAAGACATTGCCTTCCAGAGTTGTCTCCAGAGTTGTCGGCATGATGCATCAACAGCCAGTGGCTGTATGATTTAGGACAGTTACGAGATGGTGCTTGTAATCGAAATATTTAAATATTCTTCTAGTTGATGCCGAGAGCTGCTTACCTCCGACCATTCCTTTTAGTCGCTACACGGGCATATGTGTCGTGTTGCTAACCCTTACAGTAGCCGGTATGGAGCGAGTCTCGGAAGATCTGTTGAAAGTTAGGCCATGTTTCGTGCTCTTCAGATTTCACCTTCTTTCACCCCGATTCTTCTGTATTCTGCTTTAGGCCTGTTCTTTCAAAAGCACCCGCCACTCGATGACCGAAACTTCGATAAGTTCCCAATTTATGTGCTTTAGAGCATGTTGTTGTCTGTATTGTGAGTGCGAAGTGCCTTCCTGCTCTTTCGAGCAGCTGCTCGACACGGGAGGCTGTAAAGCGAGTTGTCGTGCTGTCTGTTATCAGCCCGGTGGCTCAGAGTTTCTTGTCCCAAGTGCCGCATTCGCCCCAAAACCTCACAATCATCACGTCAAATGCAGGCTCGACCTACTATATCTGCGCTTTCATTGCCAGATTGCTCCTGGGCCAGTACACCGACCCAGGCTTGGACAGCATGTTTTGCTGTGCGAACTGCAGGCTTCCGAAGCCGTGTTGAGGTGATCCAAATTCACCAGACGAGCTGTGGTCGGGGTGCAGTCAGCCTAAACCCTGGACTCTAGACGACATCAGCTTATGTGTCACTCTTTGCTCGGATGACCTGCTCAGGCTCATCATTGAGCTCAGCATCCCTGCATGTGGATATTACGGAGCATTGTACACCCACAGGACAGGGGTGGAGCACAGGGGCTAGAGCTGACCCAGAGTTGCTCAGCAACCTCGACATTGAACATGACATGGGAATTCTGATATTGAGCATGCTAGGCAGGATTGGCACACCTCACTGTTTGCCAAGTACCAATCCTCTCTGCTCAGGACTTTACTCTTTTTCTTTTGTGGCGCTAACCTTATCTTTGTGGTCGACCTCTGAGAGCATTTCGGCCGCTCAGTGGAGGTCTCGAGCAGCGGGGCTCTGTCTCCGAGGTGGCCTACAGCATCAACTTCCTGCGGTACGTCATCCGCATGGGCGGTGGGGCCGAAGCGCCCGAGACCCGTTTTGTCTTAAGAGCGTCGTGTGGAAGTGGCTTCCTTTCCTCGGTCGCTGAGCACCTGAGGTGTGCGCTTGAGGCATATGCTACGCAGCAGCGAGACTGCGAGCTGATGCACAGTTTGTTTCTCAGCGCTGGTGCCTGGTTTACAGTGACGGCTTTAGAAGTCTCCAGAAAGGTGATGGACCGCTTCGCTACCTTTTCCTTGGCAGCCTGGTGGTAGCCGCCCGAGAGAATGCTGGGGGACGAGTACTGGTAGCAAGCAGACGAAGCATCTCCGTCAACAATCACCCTGCTCAGATTCTGACGTGGTTCAGCTGTCTTTCCTTTGGCGCCGGCAAAGGCTTGTACCAGGACGGTCTTGCCATGCATTTCTGGATGTGCTGCTCTTCACATGGGCCTCTTTCCTTTGATCGCAGGGGCTGGCGCCCGGAGATGGGCATCCGTACTCGTGCAGACCTGAGCCATGAGATCTGTAAGTTCTCGCATAGAGCTTTTCCACGGTGTCCTTCATCATAGCCCTGCAGGTCTGTTCCGGTGGTTGGGGAAGTGATTGCGACTCCAGAGGCTCGTTTGACACTTTGCAGTCTGTGTTTGTCGTAGGGGATTGCTATGGTTCTTGTCCTTTGCAGGGCTCTACCAACGAGAGTGGATCGAGCTCCTCCCCGACTCGCCGTCTGCCAGTTCCCGAGTGCACGGTGGGCAGTGGACGCATCTCCGCGAAGCAGGTTGCGGATTTGCGTCGCTCGAGAACAACAGCTCGTCGCTTGTGTGGGCTCAAAGTAGATCATTGCCCGGGCTTCAGCCATGGCACGGCGAAGCGCAGTGCAGGGCCCCCAAACCTTGGAATCTGCAGAGATCCGTCTCAGAGATCCGTGGGAAGGCCTGCGCTCGCGCTCCTGGCCTCGGTGGCCTGGTTGCCGCTGGCCTTCCTTTCGCCAGGCCGGCGACAAACGCGAGCCCTGCCCTGCATTGCCCTGCTCTGGCTCGGGTCTCTCAAGCGCCAGGCAGACCGTCGCAGGAATGTGGGCGACGTGCCATGCCGCTCGAACTTGGACCAGCCGGACCTTCGTGTAGCCGGTTGCGAATCCAGATGTCCATTTTCCTGGCAAGATTGGCATGCCAAGAGCCTTCCGATTTCGGCGTGTGCTGAGGATGGCAGGTGTCGCCGGATCTCTGTTATTCGATGCTGCGCCTGACGCGCCTCGCAGTTGTCTCCAGGAAGCTCTCTGCAAACTGGCGATGCACAGCTCAGGCACGCGCCGAGGAGGAGATCGACTTTACCAAAGTGCTGCGAACTGGCAAAACGCCTTATGCAAAGATGGACTATCAGGCACCCGCAGTCATAAGGGTGAGTGATAGCTGCAGTGCACACAGAGCATCTTGTCGCAGAAACGGGAGGAAACTGCCGCCTGTACTGCAGAAGAGAAGTGTTCCAACTTCCGTTCCGATCCAGGTCTTCCGAGAAGGCAAGTGCGAACCAGCACAGATGGGCGACCTGGTCAGGTGGGCCGCGCATGCCCCGCGACCTTGGCTTTTGTTTTCGACGGTTCTCGAATGCCTCTGCAGGGTGAAGCACCGAGCCTGGCTGGAAAACTTCGAGGAGGGCCTGCCCTGGGAGCTCACGCTAGTGGGCCGAATGGCCGTGCACTGAGGATTTGTGCTGACGTTGTGGTGGCTGTGCGCCTGCATGCGCCTGCCATGTCTGAGGAGGTTGGGCCTTACCAAACGCCGAAGAGGATCAAGGTTGGAAAGGCCACGGCACTCGCAGGCTTGATGAGATTCGCAGCGTTCAGCACGCTCCCTGTTCGCAGACGCCTCTGACGGCATATGATCCGCCTTCACTGACGGACGCAATCCTGGGTATGCGCCCGGGAGAGCTGCGACGAGTAGTTGTACCTCCAGAGCGCCTTGTCTTGAAGCTGTGCTGCGGGTAAAGCTTTATGCGCACCTTGCACGTGTTGCTGGCAGTCCACTTAGAAATTGAGTCAAGCGAGCATCAAGCAGCTCCTTCGAGGTTTGGATTTGGCCCGAAGGGCAGGACGCACGGTTCAAGCAACGAGTAGAAATGCTGACCGAGTGCTGCATCCCCACATGCATGTAATATTCAAGACTCACTTATGTCAGGAGTGTGATGGAGCCTATGGAGGATCAGGCCACTTCGGTGCAGAGTGTTTGCAAGTACTTTCACTATTCTTTGTGTTGCACTTTGCTTTCCTCCAAGCTCCCTCGTTCTACTCCCAGGACATCCCGCCAAATGCTACGTTCCCTGGCTACCGCTTGAAGTCACGGCATGTGTGTCAGTTGCCGAGCCCAGACCAAGACTGATTCCAGGTTGTACTACGAGATCGAGATGGTGTGGACTGGTCCCGCACAACTGGCTGGGTGCATTCAGCCCTTTGTCGATTCTGGAAGATACAAGCCCTAAGGCTCAAGGTGCCCCTTGTCTGCAGCCAGGGCTGCGATTGGAGAATCCGGGCTGCTTCCAAGCACCGCTTAGCACTGCTTGGCAATTGGGTGCTGCGTTGCCGGCCAAGGGCATCATTGGTGTGACAGGCGCATAGGCAATAATTGGAAAAAGGAAACATAAAGAAGGCAGTCGCTCTCAGTGAGACGACAGGCTGGAAACAACTCAGAGGTCGGTATATCAATTCTAGTCTTTTCAGGTCGCCTGTCGTTTCACTCCCCCAGTTTTCCTGCTCAGTGTACAGGCTGGACCAAGGACGATGCTAGTCTAGGCCTCAAAGGAAGAGCGCCGAAGCGAAGCAGCTCCAAGACGCATCTGCCGATACTTGATGAGATCGAGGCGACGTGCAAAAAGACAAGTGTCATGGCAGATCCATAATCAGATGCCATCAGATGCCTCATGGATATGCAAAGCTTCAATTCCGAGGGCCTTGTCCGAGGAGGAGCGCCGTGTAAACGAAATGGTTCGAGCCTCGAACATTCCCTGCTGAGCGATGTGCGCGAGGGCGCCCGGGGACCCCCCGCAAATCCCCCTGCACACCTAGGCAGCTGCGCTTGCCTCAGAGGCAGCAGCTGCACGGCCATGACCGTGGCAGGCGAAGCCGCGCAGGCCAGTTGGTCACTCAGGGAGAATGACGCTACTAGTAGGGATTCGCTCCGCTGCGTTTGTAAAGCTCCAGCTTGCGTGTACATGTCTGAGCTGACCGGGACATGCATTCGCTGGCGGTCGAGTCTGTCCTTGCGTGGCTTGATTCGACAGACATTTGAAGGCTGATGTGAAGACTTTCGTGGAAGGCTCCACGGCCATTTCATGCTGTGGATCTTCTGCAGGTTTCACCGCATCTAGACGTTTCAAGCAGTGGTTGCCAGTGGCCAGCGGGGCCCGACCTCTCGGACAGGCTCGGTCCGGCCCCGATTGGGGTGAACAGCTCTTATAAAAGACGTGCTATGAACATCCTATAAACTCCCTTGAACCCTTCGAAGATGTCTCGAGTCCAAGTTGGCTCCTGAGCAAGTCCATGCGTAGAGCCGATCAGGCTTGAAGCTCCGGAGTCCTTTGCGAGTTAGAGAGCTCTCAGACACTCTGGGGCCGCAGCCTGCTTATCCTGCAGTCTGCACCCATCAATGGGTGGAGCTGCGCGGAAGAGTGCGGGTAACAGCACGTGCGTCTTTGGCAAAAGACCAGAAATCAGCTCAGCCAAAAGATCGCAAGCAGCCGTGAAGTGATGAGGCTTTATGTCACTATGAAACATCGCGTCGTTCTCTGGACTTACTTCTCATATTCCGCCGTTTCAAGCCATGTGGCTCCAGCCAAAGACACGATGTATGTTGCAACACCCATACAACAATTGAGCAGCACTGTAGCTAAAGTCCCGTGACGTGCATGGCAGATGAAACTCTGCGAGGTAGTGGTCTTGATGTGTGTCGTTTGGGTTCTGGTACTTCTTGGCAGTCTGCTAAGGCATTCTCGTCAACCTTGGGGAAAAGGATGACAACAAAAGGAAGAAGGCCGACGCCGTGAAGTGTATGCAGCAAGGGACTGTCAAGAAGCGATTAACGATGCTTGCCGGTTGCGGGAAAAATGGCTCCTTTTACGGCAACTTAACGCGCAATATTGAAAGGAGCGAGCCACAGAGCCAAGTCACACTGCGATCACCAAAAGCCTGCAAGAGAGCACTGCACCCGCGAGCCAAGTACATTGCAACCGGTCTGTTCGTGCTCCGCATCGTCGGGTGCCTTCGACAATGGCAGACAGCCGAGACAATCAAGCCTTCCACGGATTCTGAAGTGGAATCTGCGAAATGGGCTTTGTCGCACATGTTGTCGGTTTTGCAGAAGACTTGCCAACCCGTTTCGAGGTTGTAGCGACATCAGTGCTCGTCCGTTTCTCCGCCTGCATGATTGCAGTAGGGTAGAGCTTGGCGCGTTGCGGTTTAACAGCTTAGGCGCTGGCTGTGCTAAGGTCTTGCAGTCCAGAGTAATCCACACTGATGGCACCATGTCTGTTTTTTTATAAGTATTTCCGACTGTTCAGTCCGCCGAGTAATGTCTTGAATGTCTGTTCTCCTTGTGACCCCGCATACGCAGACATTCTGCTCACACGAGGGCGCGTGCAGGGCGAGGTTCAAAGCTTCAGCAAAGCTCAATGACCGGGTCTTGCGAAGCACGCCACATTCTTCGTACAGGTCATACCGCTGTTGTGGCTGTTGTCAGGCCGAGAAAGACATGTTTGACCACCTTCGCGGCTTCCTGGCGCCGCCTTCGAATGAGGCCGTTTCGAATGAGGCCCCCAACATCAACGAGAAGGTCATTCTGCTGATTGCAAACATTGTCCAGGACGCGTCGGGGGAGGTTTTTTTTATGCAAAGAGAAGTCCTTCGTACTTCCGGTTCCCAAGGACTTCTGCAGAAGTGCCTGGCCCGGGCCTGGTGTTCGAATGTGCTTGCAGAGTCAGACCTTCTGATGTCAGCTTGACCAACATGCGCCTCATATTCAATATCAGCAGCATGCAATTAGAGATCAAGTGCCGTGCCTCACATCCAGGGCCCCAATGCCCAAGGCCCAGCCAGAGGACCTCGGGGCTTGTCGCCCTCAGCATTCTGACCTTCGCCCTGGAGAAGGAGGGCGCCGCGCAGTAGAAGAGATGGTGCAAGAAGTTGGGTCTTCATCTCGGGGCTCACAGGAGCGTGCCCAGCAGCATGCCGAGTTGCTTACGGATCCGGTGCTGGTTTGCTTCTCGGACGAGGAGAGAAGCGAGGCTCACATCATGTGGAATGCTTGGCTCGAGTTCAGATTTCCCATCGGCTTGCAGGACTCCCTGGTGAGATACAAAGCCTGTGAGGCTTTCTACAACATTGCCAAGGTGATCCGAGCTGGAATTCTTCGGAACATCAGTGGTGTTTTCGATGGCCTTTGCAGGCAGAGACCTGCAACATCTGTGCTGTTTGTCGCTTTTCGTCGAACTTTGCTGCGAACCGGCTGTGCATCGCACGGCTTGTCTTCTGGACAGGCTATACACAGACGTCGAGCAGAACATTAAGGAGGGTGCCCAAAGCCTGGACAGACTCATCCGTGACATTGTGATGGAACAGCGGCATTTCGACTTCGCAGAGTATCTGGACTGACACTGTTATCGAGGAAGCCATCAACCAACCAGAAATCTACGGCAATGCTGTACAAGTAGCTGCAGCTGATCATGTAAGTGATTTCGTGACTTCCTGACTGCTCGACAAGAGCTGCCGTCTAGGTATGTCTGCTTCGTGGACCCAACACATTAAGCTCCACAGCAATCTTCCCACTGGTCTCATTGTTTTGCACATGTCGCAGCCAAGGCTGATTCCTCTGATCACTTGCAGGATCCACATCCTCAATCCAAATGCTTCTTGCTGCAGTTCGGAGTTGGCCTCACACCTGTGCTCCGTTCATAGATGGTTTCACACAGTTGTGATAGTTGTGATCTTGTCTTCCTCCGATTGCTTTCAGTGCCTGGAATCCTCGCAACAGAAGTCTTCCTTACACCACGCCTTTAAAGCTTGCCTAATGGGACGCCGCAGCTGGTCCTCAAATTGCAAAGTAAGCTGGATGTACGGCAAGACTTCGTAGTTCAGTACGCATGTCTAGTTCGTTTTCTAGCCTCGATTTTGGCACACCGTGCAGGACGTCGGCCCGTGGGTCAAGTAGGAGAGTGTGTTAAGCTCGTTTCACGTCTTACTGTAGCTTTCCAAGGAGCACGAAGGGCGACTTGTCCTTGTGTTCCTTAAATGCACCGAAATCGCATCCATACCTGGCAAGCGCGCGAAGCACAGAGGTTCGCCAGCTGGTGCTCGGCTGGATCGTTCTTTTGGATTCTTTGCCACAGGCACCCGGCGAAGAGGGTCCTGCATACTAGTGTGCCTTCTGGCTGTCAGCTTTGTTTGTGCAAACCTCGCAGGTAGATATGATCTCCTTCCTGCCTCACTTTCTGGAGGGCCTTTTCAGCATCCTTGCAAGCGAGAACCGTGACTTCCGCATGAAGGTTTCCAGCTGGTTCTCAGAAGGGATCGCAGACACTGTATCTGTTGCCAGGCCCAGGCATGTCTGGAGAGCCTCTTGGAACACATCCGACGCTCTGCTGCAGACCGCCCAGACCGGACTCAGCAGGCCATAGCCGAGGCCTGGCGCCGAGACTGGCAAACCACAACGAGCTCGTTTCGATCTCGGAAGGCCGCTTCCATCGTGGCGCGCTGCTGCCGTGCCGGGGGCGAGCAGCGCTCCGAGGCCACCTGAGAAAGAGCGCCTGAGCGTTTTCGTTCCTCCTGCCCCGCCTTGCCCCGGCCGGTGAAGCTGACAGGTGCTGATGCTAAGGGCCTAGGGCGTACGGCGTGCAGGGTTCGAGGTCTTGCCTCCGCCAGCGGAAATTCGCCAAAACACCCAAAACACCAAATCTGTCAAAACTCTTCTACCGAACCCGCCAGAAAGCCTCGGATGGACAGGATCTGGGCGGAAGGAGCCCAGGCCAAACACAAACAAGCACGAACAGCATAACGTGACAGGACTGCGAGGTAGAGAGGACACTGTTGGACGTTGAAGCTTCGGCGCATATCGTAGCTCGCACGTGTTTCAATCATTGCGGAGCTTTTCAGAAGAGTTTTGTGTAGTGGATACATTACATATACTATCCTTCGAGGTTGTTTGTCTTCTGGTGATGCACAATACCATGTCTGTCCTGTGCCTCTGATCTGCATGTTTCGGCTCGGCGGTGGACGAAGGTCGCCTCGTGCACACAAAACCCACCGTTTGTTAGTACATTTTGCAGAGACGGGCGGGTTCAGCAACAGTCCAAACACGGCAATACATTCATTGCATGCATGCCGCCATCGACATGCAGACAGGCCAGTGGTTTAAGACCGTCGATGTCGGACAAGCGAGGCGTTAGTGCCACTTACATTTGTGTGAGAACTTCTGAGGTGGCTCCACGGCTGGAAGAGAACCTGCTGAAGAGCAGCAGTCTCTGATCGGCAGTGTCTAGGCAGATCCACACTGTGTTGACTGTCCCATGATCATAATGTGGCGAGCTGAGGAAATACGGGTCATCAGAGGATTCTCCACATAGGTGAAGAGGCCTGGAATCGGCCGATACATGCTCGGTTTCCCCTGCTCTGGAGCTCTGTCTTCCAGCTCCTTGGTAGGATAATGTCTCTTGGTCGTGCTTGGATGGTGGTGACCGGTGACTGCGCACGTGACTTTCATGTCGTGGTGTGACTTGAGGATTGTCGTTGGGATTGTGCTCATCATGGTCTGTACCTCAGCCATAGCTTCGGCCGGGGTACGACATCAACCGTCCGGCGCTTAAGCAGATTTCCGATACTGTTTGTTTCGTTGATGGTGCAGATGCTGTAGCTTGTTTTGGTGCCAAGGGCTCGATCACGTGGATCTAAAGTCAGCCTGAACGAGCTTGCTACAAGCGTCAGTGGACATTCAGCTCCTTCCGGTCCTTCCACCACCGCTTGCCGCCAAGGGTTAGAAAGTTATCCCATCAAGGCGGTCCTGCACAACAACTTGGCAGGCAAAGGACCTGATGGTGGCAGCGAGGGGCTTGTGTTCTTAGTGAGCCAAGAGTCGCACGGAGTTGTCGTACGAGATTTGAAAATCTCACTGCACGCTCTGAGTCGTTACCATCCTGCGCATCCTCACTGGAATGGATTAGAGGGGGAGTTCGCTTCCATCAATCAGTTTGGCGGTCGGGCGCTGCGAGTACGAATCCATGTTTCAGATGTTGCGGACAAGCCAGTTCGCTTAGATTATCTCCCAATCTTCATCTGCGACCTCGAGACAGATTCGGTTGCTTTGCGGGAGTATGTGTGGGCATATGGGCCTCACCAGGCATATTGGTCCCCAGAGACAGAGATTGGTCTTGACACGAGGGGGAATATTACAGAATACTGGCAACAGGTCGTCTCTGCTGCAGCCCATCAGAAGGTTGGCAGCTGTTCCTTGTTTCGTTTTGGTCCTTCAGACATCGTGATGCCGTAGGATCAAGGCTAACATCAAAGAAACCAGAGACACTGCTGCAAAAACCCGGTGCAGCAAGGAGCATTCTGGGCCAGATCTGGGCCCAGACAATCCAACCTATATCCGGGAGCTCACTGCCAGTCAGGTGCGTAGGACAGTGACGCTGGTCTACCGAATCTTGACTCAGACTTATTCCGCAACTGCTGCAGCCATGGTCTTCATTAGACGTGCTTTCGTAGTGTGCTGACAGGACATGTCGGTGAGATAGAGCTGGCATTTGGATCTGAAGCACCAGCAGATGTTACTCGAACGTTTTTCTTTGCCTTTGTGGCTTTGGACGGATGTGACATGGAGTTGGTGACGTCTAGCACTTTAAGTTCCACCGCAACCCAATCTACATCTACCAGTACTACATCTACCACTACAACTCCAACCACCAGCTCTGTGACAAGGGCCAGTTTAACCCTAACTACGTCAACGGCTTCCACGATAACATCGAGTTACACTACGTCGACGCGAACCTCGGCGACATTCACTAGCACCACGGCGACTGCCGTGTTCGGCATTCCTTTGTTCGCACCTCCAGGTCTCTCCTGCAAACTGTGATTGGAATTGCCTTACGAAAGCAATGTGCTCAGTTCATTGAAGACATTTGGCAGGTGAGCTGCGTTGGTGGCATGGTCTCAGGGAGCTGTCCCGCCTCAAGCGAGCAACTCTTTATTCCGTCGTGATGGGCTGAGCTAATGATCTAGTTCTCTCCTTCACATGACTTCAGACCTCTGCCTCCTAAGGCTCTGCTCGGGCTGGTGCTGCTCTTAGTGCTCTACTGGCTTTGTTGGGCTTGCCGCGCCCGGGAAGAGACAGGCAAGTCAAGTGCAGGGAAGTTCTTTCACACATTTTGCATCGAGATCTTGAAGCCATCATTGCAGGCCATGAGATGCGCGTCCTCCTGCGGCTGTAGCTTGATAACGTTTAGTAGAATCTTTAAAGCACGGCGTGATGCTGATTCTCGTATCTACATGTGGGGACCAAAGCGTCCTAATTCTGCCAAGCAGAATCTGCAACAAGATCAGTCAGCCGTTGACCCGAGTCCCCGTAATTTGGGGGCTCATTGGATGCTGTAGTCGTCGGAATTGGGAACGATTCCGTGCTCTGCCAGATGCGCGAGATCTACTTGTCTGCTCTGCAGACCTTTGGTATTTGATAGTATTCACCGCTTTTCGCTTCAGTGCACTGTTATCAGAACTCGACGTTGCAAATGCCAGGATGCCAATGTGCGGCGTGCATCTCAGACTTTTCCGAGGTGCCTGTCGAGCCCCGTAGCGCAAAGCTTTGCCGGAGGATGCAGGCGCTGAATTGGCTGGTGCAGTCCGTACAGCTCCAGGCGGGCCCAGGCTCAGGACTCCTGGCTCCCGAGTTACACTTCCTCAGAAGGTCTATGAAGTAGGGGCACTTCGGAGAGTGGAGCTTCCAGCAGCTGCTACCCAGAGAGCCGATTCTAGTTGGTTGCAGGTTGATTTGGAGAGCGGCGTCACCTTCTTCCTGGCAGGCAGTTGAAGCAGGGACTCTCTCACCTAATCCATCCGACCTCGTTAGGCCCTTCAGGCAAGCCATCGCAAGAGCTCCCAGCCTGGCTTGGCCCTGAGCGTGAGCAACTCGAGATTGCCGAAAGATGACTTTAGTCTGGGTCTTCGACTCTTTGAATGTGTGGCTCGAAGGCTCGAAGTTCGCTAGATTGGCTTTGCTGAGCCGAGGATGCCCCAGAAGCGCGCAGCACCCCGTGACCTGCTCGAAGGAGCATGGCATGTGCCGGCATCTTGAGTCGGTCGTGAATCTGATGGGCATGGTCCACAAGGGTGCGGACTGTCTCGACGTCTGTCGGTGGGACTTGCAGGAGCCAGTGCTGGCTCGCAGGGAGGTGCGCGGCACAAGGATGAGCTGAGCCTTTGTCTTTGCACAGCAGTTCACGAGGCTTGCGGCAACTGATACCGGAGCTTCTGCCAGGGGTGCTGCCGGCGAAGTTAAACTGTGTTGTGATGCTCCACAAGCTCTGCTTCGAAGTCTTGCCAGGCACTTTATTGCCTGGACGATGGCGAGCAACAGATCCGGAAAGCTGCTGACGAGGCAATGTGGGGCATATTGGCGTAGCTTTGCTTGCAGGAGAGGGAAGCCGATGAAACCAAGCAGCACGTTCAGAATACCTGGAAGACGGTGGAACACTGCAGACGACCGTTCATTGCAATTGTGCAGACCCCACAGGGCCTTTGAACCCTTTGACGCGTTTTAGTGCTTTTCCAGGCCAATGCCATGCTGCTGAAGGAGACCTTGAAGCTCGAGAGCCGGGAGCCCGGCCGGGACCAGGTCACAGTCAGAGGCACTTGAGATCTCATCACAGGAGTCGGCATGAAAGGGCATGATCGGCCGCCCGAGCAGCTTTCAAAACAAAGCGCACGGAAAGTCTTGATGCGCTATCTGCAGATAAACGTTGTCCTGGCCCCCTTTGCATCTCGGTACACCGTGCTCTTCTCGGCTTTCACTGACAGTCCAGGTATGGGACTACCGGCACCTCGAAAGCTCGAGTTTCGTGAGCCTCGAGTTTCGTGAGCATTAGGAGCCAGTTTCGGGAGCCAGACGGTCGAAAGGAGGCACCATTCACGCCCACACTGAAGCACTCGAGCACATGCGGTCAGCGGCACAATTGTCTGAGGGAATATGGGCAAAGTTGACAGCAGCTCGGAACCAACCTGATTTTGGGACAGAAGCACAGGTGGCACCACGAGCGAATGCCAATCTACAGGACGGCGTGTATGAGGGCATGACGGTTTGGCCCCCTTTGGGTGGAGCTGGGATGCGTGCGCCAAGGTACACAGGTCGGTACTCACCCCTCTGTGCTGCCCGCCGTTTTCGAGTTTGAGTAAACGATGTCAATACGAATAGTTTGAGATGGCCGTGCGGATGCCTTTCAAAACCCTAAACCCTAAACCACCTTTCTGCAGGACGTGAGATGCTTCAATCTTACAAATCCGCAACCCTCCGAATCCGACAAGCGCAAACTCCCTTAGCCCCAAGTTCCGGACAACGTCATAGCAAAAACTGTGTCAAAATCACACAAGCCCCAGATGATCTGATAACTTCAGCCCCAACCCAAAAGCAACCTAAGCCTCTGGGGGTGCTTCGCCACCTCGTGCACGTACTGGTAGCAGCCCCAAAGTGCTTTGGGGCTTTCTCCAGAAGTCAGTGTTTCAGAAGTACGTTCCTCAGAGCAGCGCTCGGCTCTAGGACCGAGCTGCCTTGACCCGACTCGGCTATGTCGGTCTGCGTCCGTCGATGATGACTCCCGTCTCTTCTTGAGCACTGGCACAGGGAAGTCTGAATCCCCCTACCCAAGGCTGTGACACCGTTGACTCCGTACTTTCGGGCATTGAAAGCCCTTCGCACTGCAAAACCGGTGAGGCCCAAGTCTCGCAAAACCCTCGACGCGACAAGAGCCCGCATTACATTTCGGCGAGCGACCGTTGGCATCGCCCGTTCAGGTCCAGGTCAGCGCGTCAAGTGAGCGTCAGGATGCCAGCACACTTACAACTACTAGTAGCTGTAGTACAGGCGCAACTGCCAAGAGTGATGTCAACTCAGATCTCATGCCGCACTAAATGTCGACATCCTTTCAAACACCGCCTGGTGTCTGCCCTCTCTCTCCACCTCGCACCTGCCCACCTATCCAGGCCTACCTATTCAGGAGACCCTGCACTGCCAACACTTCGACTGTTCCCTTCCTCGCAGTTTGAAGCCGGTTGAGACTCCGGGCGCATTATCTCTGACAGCTGAACCTACGTCGCCCGTGTCATCTCCTTGGCGCTTTCTGAACTGCCTAAGTATCCACCGAGGTGACTTGCCTGTGGAGCAGATGGCGAGCGCGGTCATCTGTGCGATGTCTGACGTGGGTGGACAGGCACCCCAAAGTCAAATACAGACATACACATTCTGATGTTGCGCTTGTTTCTGTGCACCCAAAAACATGGTCGGGTAAACGAAAAAGTGGGTGCTTCTTGAAGCAGCATGATCGCAATCCTTTGGCTGATGCTTCTGTCTTGTCTCTGCCATGCAGGAACGCAGCAAAGAAGTCTTGCTGAAATGCTTTGGTTCGGCCCACAGATGGTCGGCCAAAATTCCGTGATCCGGTTCACTCCGAGGTTGGGCTGATACACTCTTGGACAAGCTGCCGCCTTGGAAAGGACTTGGCCTCCAGGGCTCTGGCTGTGAAGCGACTATTGCAGGTGCCCTGCGCGGGTGGTGGAGCCTGAGGCTGGAAGAGCGCTGTGGTCGCGGCACATCGAAACCTTCCGAGCAGGTCCGAGACAGATTTTTCGAAGCGGCACTGAAGGCGCACTCCCTCACTATTTTCCGGCTTGGTGTGCACACAAATCTGCCTGCATCGATTTGTAACTTCGTACTTGTGATTTTGATCTGAGCTAGGCTTTGTTGCGTGAGGAGGAGGAGGCCGGCCTGCACTTCCGTCAAGTAATGTGCCTGCGATAAAGCGCTGTAGAGGTGGCCTCCACGGCGCTACGTTTTATGGCGCAGCTGGCCTCCACCGCCGAGACGCTGGGAAAAGGCAGTGAAGCAACATCGAGTCGAGAGCAGCAGAGTAGCAGCAGAGCAAGCGGAATGCAGGTGATGATCTGGTTGGCCACATGTGCGAAAGACTCTTCGACCTCATGAACAAGCAGCAGAAACTACTCACGCGTCTGCTTCCGAGTCGGACTCTGAGACCTAGAGCATAGTTGGCAGACTCCTAGACCCAGGTAGAGGTGAGCTCATCATCCGATTGATGTGCAAACGTCCGGGGCCTTGGGAAATGTCGCGACGAAAAATCAAGTAGAACTCTTGTATCACCAACAGGGTTGTGATCAAACGTTTATCTTCCAGTGTGTTCTGGCCCTGCGTGGTGCAGAGGTGTAGATGCCAAGCGGTTCTTCGCCGTTCACTCAATCTTGCACTCGGAGGGAGGTCACAGGTTGTTCGTAGCAAGCATCAATATCAGAAGCGTAACTTTCGTTTAGATGTGACCACAAGGCCACAGCTGCTAAGACGCTTGAAACTATAGAGGCGGGGCCGACGCACCATGTTCGTTGACGCGCTATGACGAGCTTGTTTACAGCTTGTCTCTAGCTTGCCAGTCTTCCTGGAAGGACCCGCCTTTCGCACGAAACCTCGTGCAGGCGCGCGGCCCTTCGTGCAGAATAAAGAAAATGTAAGGAGTAGGCTGAATGGCTGCAAACCAGATGCCATCTGCTGAAGCTGCAGGCAGCACGCACGCATAGACATTGCTTCACATCGCATCGCGGCACGGAGGCTCTGAATCGTGGTCTACTGACCGGTCCAGAGACTCAAAAGTTTCGCGTGCAGAGCCCAGATTATTCAGATTCCTGGGCTTACAGTTCCGACTGTGGAGAAGATACGCGTCATGGTCAGCACTGTGTGCTGTGATGTGCTGTGGTGAGGCTCAACTCCGCGCAGAGTCCAGTGGTCAAGTCGCTTCGGCAAGCTTTCCGTACGCCCTTCAGCGTTCGTGTCTTTCTAGATCGCAAAGGGGCGGGCGAAAGAAGCGAGTTGCTGCTTGCCATCAGGATGGTTCTCATGAAGTCCTGGCTGTCAGGGGCTCGGCCGCGCCTAGTTGGCAGAGTTGCATCTTCATGGTGGCCGAACGAGCCTCTCCGATTGAGACCTTTTTTGCCTTCTTGCCTATCCCAAAACTCACTCCGCCTCCATCCTTGATCCAACAAGGTGTTGCCCAGTCAGTTCGCTGGCGCTCAGCTTCTGGATGAACTGGTCCGGGCCCAAGTCTTTCGGATGTCGCTGGGACTGACAACGAGAGCCTTTGATCCGATCAGAAACATGGTTTGTGGGTGTTGCATGCGACGGGAACTTTGGCAGTTGCAGCAATAGTGCAGCGAAAACAGA